GGACTGTCCACCAGGCCTCTCTGGGAACTGTCCCCAGCCCATAGAAATGGGCACCTCAAAGCCATGTGTCTGCTAAGTCCCATTGGCCACAGCTCATCTGTCCCAGAGTAGACACCAAGGTCAATTGGATTCTTTTTTTCTTTTTTTTTTTCTTAATCTTATTAAGCCTACAGCACCCGGTATTCCCAGGTGGTCTCCCATCCAAGTACTAACCAGGCCCAACCCTGCTTAGCTTCTGAGATCAGACAAGGTCCGGCACGTTCAGGGTGGTATGGCCTTAGACGGTCAATTACATTCTCTCTGGAATCTGGAATTGGGACAAAGAGCTTCAATCTCAGTCTGGATGATCTTCTAAAGGAAAAAAAAAATTAAAATTTGGAAGCACTGGTCCCTACGGATAAGGCAACTGAGAGGGCCAATTTTGGGGAGAGAAGATGGGGGAGAGGAAGACAGAGAGAGTAGAAATGGAAATTCACACAAGGGAACAAAAATAAGAGATGGAGAGAAAGCTAACCTTGAGTACGTGGAAGGTTTTTATTTTCTAGATTCATTCCCTTCCTGGGTCAGGCTGCTCCTCCTGTCAAGGGGTCCTGGGAAACAATCAGCCATCCTTAGAAAAAAATCTCACCTTTTGTGTTTCAGGGGCTTCTAGAGGATTTCTCTTATCTTTAATAAAAAAGACCTCACAAGGAACTTAGGATGCAGGCTGGGCACGGTGGCTCACTCCTGTAATCCTGGCACTTTGGGAGACTGAGGTGGGCAAATCACTCGAGGTCAGCGGTTCGAGACCAGCCTGGCCAACATCGTGAAACCCAATCTCTACTAAAATACAAAATTTAGCCAGGCATAGTGGCAGGTGCCTGCAATCCCAGCTTTTTGGGAGGCTGAGGCAGGAGAATCGCTTGAATCTGGGAGGGGGAGGCTGCAGTGAGCTGAGACAGTGCCGTTGCACTCCAGCCTGGGCAGCAAGAGTAAAACTCCATATCAAAAACAACAAAAAAACTTAGGATGCAGTGAGTGCTTAATAAACACTACAAGGTTCCCTTTCTTGCCCCTTTCTGAGTTTTTCTTCTTTTACTTTCCAGCTCTGGTCTGACTTAGGTCTTGCTGGTAGGCTGCTGCTCTCTTTCCTTATTTCCTCAAAGAGCACATGTATTTTTGTGGCTTTACAGTCTGGAAAGGACAAAGCCTAAGACTCTGTCTTCAGCCCTGATAGCTCTCCCAGGGCTCTACTTGCCCGCACCCAGTTATCTCAAGGGCACGACCACTAAAATCCCCATAATTTTGGCATTAAAGTCAGTTCATTGTGATCCCCCTACAAAGAACACAACATCACCCTAATCCCTCCTTCCTTCCTTCCTTTATCCCAGTTACTATAACCTACCTTCCTTCCTTTTCTCCCTCCCTCCCTCCTCCCTCTCTCTCTCCCCTCCCTCCCTCTCTCTCCCCTCCCTCCCTCTCTCTCCCCCCCCCCCCTCTCTCTCCCCCCCCCCTCCCTCTCTCTCTCCCCTCCCTCCCTCTCTCTCCCCTCCCTCCCTCTCTCTTTCCCCTCCCTCCCTCTCTCTCTCCCCTCCCTCCCTCTCTCTCTCCCCCCCCTCCCTCTCTCTCTCTCCCCTCCCTCCCCCCTCCCTCTCTCTCTTCCCTCTCTCCTCTCTCTCTCTCTCTCTCTCTCCCTCCCTCTCTCTCCC